GTGTTATATCTTTCACTGGGATGTTATAATTTTGCACTGCATAAATCTAGATGGATAAAACAAAAACTGTCTGTCTTCATTTCAGGCTACAAAGCGACAAAATGTGATTATGTTAAAGGATGTGATTATTTTCTTTCTATACCCACTTTATATAATGGCCACACCAGTAATATTGCTTCTGTTTATCTGTATATCTTCCCAGGTTCCTGAGCCCTCAGCTTATCAGGACACATTTGGGCCCTGAGTTGAGTGAGAGTGAAGGAAGCCTGGAGTTGTGTCCCTGGGTTGGGTGGTCTCTACAGGCACACATGGACATTCACACAAGCAACCTATGGTGTCTCCTGTTAAAGAGATCTGCTGATTTGTTAGGGAAGGGTGAGGAATTGCGAGTAGGGAAGTGGTGTTGGGGGGTTGGGAAAGAAAGGGAAGGTGAAGGCGGGTAGGTTGGGTGTAAAGATAAAATGTGCACAGAACAGAGGAGTTCAACACTCTGCCGCCTCGTGACTCCACACTCTTAAAGAAGCAGCAACTCCAAGTCAAAAGAGTGTGGCATGTAAGACTTGATCCATGGTTCCCATATTTTTATGGAAACTCGAGAATTTATTTTGGTGCGTTGTCAATTTCTCAGAATTCATGACTCTGGAAACATGGAGCTTAACTTTCACAAAAGGAATTGCCAAGGTTTTACCCGGTGTGTGCTATGGTTCTCTTCCATCCTGTGAGGTTGTGTGTGACCAATCTGAATTGAGTGTTGGCTTGCCAGTGGGCCAGCTTGATAATATTGCAGAAGATGCAAAACTAGACCCCCAAAACAGTTTGTAGATCTATATAAAATGGATTTTGCAATGCTGTAGAAGGCGCCCTTCCAAAAGAATTAACCTCCCTGGCGGTATTCCCGAGTGTAGCTCGGGGTAAAATGTCAGTGCCAAAAGCGGTAACCCCGAGCTACACTCGGGCTTACCATGCGGCGCTGCATAGGGAGTCCCTGCAGAGCTCACCTTGTCCTTCGCTCCCGCGATGTGTCCCCTGCAGCTTCCCCGGCCATCTCCTCCGGCCGATGCCGGCATCCGGCTTCTGTGTTCCGGTCCCTGTGACGTCGGGACGTAGGGGCGGCGGCGGGAAATTTGAAAATTAAAAAAAAATTTCATTTTTTTCAAAACAAATTTTTCATAGTAAAACATTGCTGTTTCAACCCATTTCACATACATTTTGTCCCGAGTGCTTTGTCCGGCGCCCTGCCTGCATTTTTACTGTTCTTTCTGCCTGGAAACTGAGACACGTCCATGGCGTCCAAAAGTGTCCCTTTAGGTCAAAAGCGGTTTTAGACCGGCTAGAGAACAGCGATAGTAAATCAGAACCACTTGCAGAATTGAGTGATAATGATTCGTGGGGGAAATTCCTCATCAGACACTGAAAACGATTCTGCGACTGAGCTCAGTGATGTGCGAATTTGGCGCTCTATTTCAAATTTCAGTGTTTTCGGTTTGATTATATTATTGAATTACATTTATTATTATATTATTATTATTTTTTATGATTATTTATTAAATTATAATTTATGATTTCGTGTTTCAAATTTTATCATCCCCGGGATGTTTACTAGACTCTTGTTCGTACAGATTTCAGTGAGTTATTCCTAAAAATTACAGCCTACAATGAAAAAAACTACATATTTCCATGCAAAAAAATGGTACCACTTTCAGCACCAAAAATCTGAAATAATCAGACCACCAGGGAGGTTAAAGGATTTGCCTTTGGAGGACTCACTTGCCATTGGGCGTGAGGCCACCAGCAGGACTTGTGCAAAATACAAATGTGTTGTTCCCAGGAGGAAAGAAGTGAGATGAGCTTACCATTTCTGGTAATCTGTCTGGTACAGCGTGTCGTAGGATGGAGTATGGTGAATTCCCAGGTGGGGCAAGCATGAGGAGGTCCAAGAGAAACCAGAAGATTTTTTATAAGCAGCTGCACTGTAGCTGTGGTCAAGGGGACATTCAAGGCCTTTGACTGGCCTCGTTAATGCACAGGCCTGCTGACAAGTGACTATTTTGGCTTTTTTAGGCACAGGATATAAGGTTTTTAAAAACGTACTTTATATTTTAATCTCCAGGCATTGATCTACTGTGGGTGAGCAGAAAAAAAAAAAAAAAAAAAAAAAGGAAATTTAATTGACCTGAAAACATGCAAATGGGTTGGCAGGGTCTTTTACCTATTTATTTCTGGTACTTGTATATCGCCGTCAATTTCCGCAGCGCTTTACAAATATATTGTACATTCACATCAGTCCCTAACCCTCAAGGGGTGTACAATCTAAGGTCCCTAACTTACATTCATGCACATATTGGGGCCAATTTAGTTAGGATCCAATTCACCTACTCTTTGGAGTGTGGGGGAGGAAACCGGGGTACCCGGAGGAAACCCACGCAGGTACAGGGAGAACGTGCAAACTCCAGGCACGTGGTGCCGTGGCTGGGATTCGAACCAACGACCCGAGTACTGCCAGGCAGAAGTGCTAACCATTTAGCCATTGTGTTGCCCACAGAATTTTTGTTTATCTTTCTTCTTACTACTGACTCAGATTCCCTTTTCTTTAACGCCTTTTCTTTCTCATCCCTGTGGTTAGGCGTTGAGGCTGAGACAATAGCCAACTGTAAAGCTTACCACACGTTAGAATCTGTACAATCTTCTTTAGATATAACAACTGTTAGTGCAAGGGTCTGCATGACCTTCTACAAATTGATTGTATAGACTAGGTAGGTGCTCATATTTACATAGTTTTGGTAAATCTCAAGTTGACTGTACAAAAATTGATGGTTAGATTGTTATGTAGAGTATATGGCGACTAATGGTGGCCAAGCTTTGAGACCACACCCTATTGGCCACATTGACCTAGTTAGACGTCTGCCAAATGAAGATAAAGAACCTTTTTGTTCTTTTTTTTTTTTTTTTTTTTTTTTTTTTTTAAAGAGAATTGCCGAAGGAAAACTTTTTGATTGAATCCTGAATGATAACTGTGACAGTGATGCACAGATTTATCAGCCACTGAAATTGGGGTTAAAAAAAAAAAGGTGCCACTAATGATAGATGACTTTGATTCAAAATCATGTCCTATTGACTTCAATGCAAAATTGCCTCCCATTGACATCAATGCAAAAATGCTTGTATTTTAAGGTTTTGGGTTTTTTTTTCTTTTTAATTTTATATATATTTCATTATATTTTCTGTCCAGGTTTTTAATTAATTAAAATTATAGTGTAAATTATTTAACTTTAATTGTTAAAAGTCATATTCATTTAAATTCATGATGGTAATTAAAAAGTCGGTTTTTGGCCAAGTGCATCCTGAATTTTCGGTTTCGGCCCAGAATTTTCATTTCAATGCACCACTAGTCACAGTTGCTTGTGCTCAACCAAACTGTTAAGCCATCAAATAGTGGCTAAGATGGCAGCTTCCTTGGCTGTGAAGGACAAGAGGATTTCATTCCACTTTAAGGGCTAGTGTAGACATGTTTTATGTTTTCCTGTGTTTGACATGCATTTGAAACGCACATCAAACACAGGACACCAGACCTTTTTTACTTTATTGGTGAAGTTTGGATGATAGTTCTGAAGTCACATTTGATCAGCTGTACATTTGGATTTCTTTGAGTGCAGCAGGTCCTATTCCTGACGTGGGAAAAACTCATCCTTTTGCTGCATTTTTTCCGCCTACGCCCTAAGCAGCAGGCTACCAACCAATAAACCTTTACATTATGACCAGCCACCTAATGTTGAGTTAGGTCTCCTTCTGCCACCAAAACAGGCCTGACCCATCTAGGCATGAACATCATTGGACCTCTAGACCCCTGAAGATATGCTGTAGTATCTGGCACCAAGCTGACAGTAGCAGATCCTTTAAGTCGAGGTGGGGCCTCCATTGGTTTGGACTTGGTTTTTCAGCACACAGATGCTCGATTTTGAGAGTTTGCAGGCCAATCCACACCTCAGACTTGTGTTTCTCAAACCATTCTGAACCACTTTTGCATTGTGGCAGGGTGCATTATTCTGCTGAAAGGCCACTGCCATTAGGTAATACCATTTCCATGAAGGGGTGTACTTGGTCACCCAAGAATGTTTAGGCAGGTGGTACGTGTCAAAGTAACCTCCGCAAGAATGGCAGGACCCAAGGTTTCCCAGCAGAACATTGCCCAAAGTGGCACACTTCCTCCATCGGCTTGTCCTCTTTCCATACTGAATCCTGGAGTCATCTCCTCAACAGGAAGGTTGAATAGAGGAGGTAGGTGGTTCGTGTCAAAGTAACCTACACAAGAATGGCAGGACCCAAGGTTTCGCAGCAGAACATTGCCCAAAGTGGCACACTTCCTCCATCGGCTTGTGTTCTTTCCATACTGAATCCTGGAGTTGTCTCCTCAACAGGAAGGTTGAATAGAGGAGGTAGGTGGTTCATGTCAAAGTAACCTCCGCAAGAATGGCAGGACCCAAGGTTTCCCAGCAGAACATTGCCCAAAGTGGCACACTTCCTCCATCGGCTTGTCTTCTTTCCATACTGAATCCTGGAGTCATCTCCTCAACAGGAAGGTGACACACATGCACTTGGCCATCCACATGATGTAAAAGAAAGCGCGATCCATCAGACCAGGCCATCTTCTTCCATTGCTCTGTGGTCTAATTCTGATGATCACATTCATATAGGTACTGTTGGTTGTGGACGCAGGACAGCATGGGCACCCTGACCGTTCTGCAGCTACACCGCTCCATACACAACAATCTGCAGTGCACTGTGTTCTGGCACCTTTCTATTGGAACCAGCAATAACTTTTTCTACAATTTGAGATGCAGTTGCTCCTCTATTGGATCGGACTGCACAGGCCAGCCTTCACTCTTCAACCCCACCCTGTCGCCGCTTCCCTGGTTTTCCTTTCTTGGGCCACTTTTGGTCTGTCCTGCCCACTGCAGACCAGGAACATCCTACAGAAGCTGCAGTTTTGGAGTTGCTCTGACCTAGTCATCTAGCCGTTACAGTCTGGTTCTTGTCAAAGTCATTCAAATCCTTTCCTATTATTTTTTTTCTGCTTTCAACATTAACGTCAGGGACAAGTTCACTTGCTGCCTAATATGTCCCACCCACTTTCAGGTGCCTTTGTGATAATCCGTTTTATTCACTCTACCTGTTAGTGGTCATAATGTTGTGGCTGATTGTTCTTTCACAAAAGTTGTACTTAAAAGCAAACATATCTATGTGGATGTAAATGTGTTACTCCCTTTTTTTTTTTTTTTTTTTTTTTTTTTTTTTTATGTGTTTGTCTTCTAGTACTGTATTATCTTTTAATTCTTTGCATACACTATAAATACCTGGTTGATTCTGGCAGTCCCTCTTCGTCCACATAAACTGTCCATGCAAAGCCGAGAAAGCAGATCTGTGCTTTTGTGGTCAATTTGGGTCCCAGAGCTTGCAATTCAGAAGTGGGGAAGATGGGGATATGTTGATAAATGATGGTGACAAATGATGGTGCAGTTATAAGTTGTTCCACAAGGTGGCAATCTTGGCAATAATATTAATGGGAAAGGTTTGTGGTCCCATATAGGAAGTGTAGAAGGCGGGGGCTCCTCTTTTTACCAAGTTGTTATTATTATTATACAGGATTTATATGGCGCCAGCAGTTTGCTCAGCGCTTTACAAATTGGGAGACAATACAGCAACAATACAGTTCAATACAAGAGGGTTAGGAGGGCCCTGATCCTGGGAGCTTACAATCTAGGAGAGTGTTAAGTGTTTTATAGTTCTAATTTTCAGTTTTAAAAAACACTGCTAAATTTTCCACAGATGTGGGTATTATTATAATTAATATTATTAGTATTATTATTATTTTTTTTTTTTTGTTAATTTAACTGTTTCCACAAAGCAGCAAAATACAATCGGGACTGTATGACATGGAGGATGACTTTTAAAAATGTGCTATTTAACCCTTTTTATGACTAGAGCTCAATGATGCCCAAACCAATTGTGGGCAGCACAGGGGCTAAATGGTTAGCACTTCCGCCTGGCAGTACTAGGGTCGTCGGTTCGAATCCCAACCACGGCACCACCTGCCTGGAGTTTGCATGTTCTCCCTGTGCCTGCGTGGGTTTCCTCCGGGTGCTCCAGTTTCCTTCAACACTCCAAAGACATGCTGGTAGGTTAATTGGTTCCTGTCTAAATTGGCCCTAGTATGTGTATGTATGAATGTAAGTTAGGGACCTTAGATTGTACACCCCTTGAGGGTTAGGGACTGATGTGAATGTACAATATATATGTAAAGTGCTGCGTAAATTGACGGCGCTATATAAGTACCTGAAATAAATAAATAATAAATCAATTTTCATATGTATTTTTAGTGCTCATTCACATGGGCACTGAGGCTTGCTGTGTGCAAGAGCTTAGTGTAGGCAGCTTGTGTTAGGAAATATGGGTGTGCAGTCAGAAATATAGACACTGTTTTGGGGGCTGTGCATTCCTTTCAGCATGTCTGTAGAGTTCAGATGTGCTGGTGAGACCATAATGATATGCATCTCGGGAGAAAAATCTTCTTCCTTGATGCCAATTTCTTACCTTCGTTGAATATGTTATCCATCTTCTGGTTCACTCAGTAGCTGCTCTGAAATAGTCTATTCATCTTCAAATCAAACCGTTAATTCTCTTAGGTTTCCTGTTTGTAAGACCAGTGGCTGTTATGCCTCCTATTCCCCCAACCATTGGTCTTGGCACATCCCTTCTGTAGTTCTTTCTGCAGGAAGCAGTGATGTAATTCAGTGGGCGGACCAAGACTGTCAGACACATTCAACATGGCCTAGTGTACCCGCCCACATTCACTACAATTCCCTGTGGTTAATGGGAACTTGGTTTACTACAGCATATGACATGAAAATAAGAAACAATTGCCATACTAATTGATACAAAGCTGTATCCTTATAATATCTCTGACTGACTTATATAAAAGTGTGGATTGTAAACCTAATAATACTGGAATACAAAAATGGCAGTTGACTAGTGCAGAGCCACCTTAGGCGGCTCTGCACTAGTCAACTGCCATTTTTGTCTTACTACAGCATATACCTGTTCATGGGGCATGTACAGGTGTTCCATGTATCTCCATGCAGGTAGTCCCATTCATGTCATTTGGGCTTTACAGCCCCAAATGCAGACCATGTGTGTTCAGATTTGTGCACCTACATGGCTGTCCATGCAGCCATTTCATCCCAATTGATATGAATGGGACTGCCTGCATGGGAATGCAAGGAGCACCTGTGCTTGCACTGTGCAGGTGAACACAGCCCTCACATGGGTGTTTGCTGTAGTTTGTCTATGAATGAAGCCTAAACTTGACAGTGGTTCTGTTTTTTTCCCTTCTCTGTCCAAATCCATAAATACAAGTTCAGGCCATCCAGTCACTTTTCTGACCATGGTGGTAGTCGGTAAATTGGAGTTCTCCCATTGTATGCTGTATTCTATAAATATTTACTTTTGGGTTTAATACAGCAACAGTGATGACGTAAAGTCACAGTGCTGGGGGTGCTGAGTGAGCGCACTCGCCGCAATAAAAAGTCACGATGGCTGTACGCATATATGAAGTGGTTGGTGTTCAAGCCCACTGCTATGCTAACACGTGTGTATACAGCCAGTGAGAAGGGGTAAAAAGCCTGAAAACAGACCTCTAGCTGCATTGCAGAGTACTTTCACCTCAAATACAAGGCAGTCTATGGAATACGCTTTCAGTCCTTCTCTGAACAGGTTAGGCTCCCATTCACACTTCTGTAGCGTGACATCAGGTGTTGCTCATATGCACATTTTTATATGTGGGGCAGCACAGTGGCTAAATGGTTAGCACTTCCGCCTGGCAGTACTCGGGTCGCTGGTTCGAATCCCAACCACAGCACCTCCTGCCTGGAGTTTGCATGTTCTCCCTGTGACTGCATGGGTTTCCTCTGGGTACTCCGGTTTCCTCCCACACTCCAAAGACATGCTGGTAGGTGAATTGTCTCCTGTCTAAATTGTCCCTAGTATGTGTATGTATGAATGTAAGTTAGGGACCTTAGATTGTACGCCCCTTGAGGGTTAGGGACTGATGTGAATGTACAATATATATGTAAAGCGCTGCGCAAATTGACAGCACTATATAAGTACCTATAATAAATAAGTAAATGTGGTCACACATTCTGCATTGGGTGGCCCATTATTTCAGTGAGTTGCCCTACGTGTGACAAATGCAACAAAAAATCTCATGCATCCTTTTGAGCATCAAGCTGCTGACATTTTAACCATGCTTTTTTTCCGCATTTTTAGTGGGTTCTAGTGCACAAAATAAGCACACTTCTTTGTTGGTGCGTTTGGGGTACCATTAGTGACATCACAAGTGCTACAGATGTTTGTTTGTGCAAATGCATAAAACAATTGCACAATTTTGCTTGCATTCAAGCTGCACACTAAGATGAATGTGGGCCAAAGCACCCACTGTTTACATTAGAAGAATAGGATCCTTCCAAGTCCCTCCTGCCATATGTAACAAGGTGGGGAATGTACTGCCATTTTGTGCTTCTGTTAAGAAATGTAAGGATCATTTTGTCCCCTGTGGCTGCAGCTATAGAGGTCAGTGAGGGTTTTATAAAAGCTTTTTTACTGCTAGTTATGAATATGTAAATGTTTGTCTGAAATTTCAATTTGGGCAGCACAGGGGCTAAATGGTTAGCACTTCCGCCTGGCAGTACTCGGGTCGCTGGTTCATATCCCAACCACGGCACCACCTGCTTGGAGCTTGCATGTTCTCCCTGTTCCTGCGTGGGTTTCCTCCGGATAGTCCGGTTTCCTCCCACTATCCAAAGACATGCTGGTAGGTTAATTGGCTCCTGTCTAAATTGTCCCTAGTATGTGTATGTATGAATGTGAGTTAGGAACCTTAGACTGTACACCCCTTGAGGGTTAGGGAGTGATGTGAATGTACAATATATATGTAAAGCGCTGTGTAAATTGACGGCGCTATATAAGTACCTGAAATAAATAAAATAAACTTGGAGTGCGATCTGCAGGACCTGACTGTGCTGTTTGGCAGGGATGCCTGGATTGAATTTCAGTTATGCATGCAGCCCTTTACCAGTTCAGTTCAGCTTTAATCTAGTTGCACTCTGTAGACATTAACAAAAGGCCTAAAAGTATTGTGTCTGCACACGGTTTTTGTGTTTTTTGGGGAGTTCACCTTAGTGGCCAGTAGTTATATCTGTTTTGGGATTGTGGAGATGATGGTGGGGCATTTATGACCCTTTTTGCAGTGTGCATTTTAAAGGATAAGTTTTTTTTTTTTTTTTTTTCAGGTACATAAAATGTGCATTTATTTTTGAGCCGGTAAAGCGTTGCACCAGCATTCAGCAGATCGCTGGTGCCATGCAGGTCTCCAGCAGACTGTCATTGTGATCTGTGTGCTCGTACCTCATTTGGGCAGGCAGTAGTACACTAACAGGAAGAAAGAATGAACTACCACAGCGCTTCACATCGCCATGGTAGTTCATTGAGAACTATAAGCCCACAGCCACAAAGGATTTTGTTCCATTTCATTCATTCACAGAACTCTGTGAATGAATGACGCAGCCATGTGGAGGAAGCCCTACACGACCGCGCTGCTTTCCAAAACTGACAGCTAGCGTGGGGAACCTCCCCGTACTGCTGTTACAGGCAATGCGAGGTTTGGGGAGCAGCTACAGCAGTGGGGAATAGTTACATGTTCCCAAAGGTGATCTTCTCCTTTTAAGATTTTGGTTCTCCTGGGTAGACTGAAAAAATATGCTTTTTGGTCAATGTACTTTCTGGCATTTTCGACACCTGCATTTATGAAAAACCTTCAGATTCAAAGAGGGATTTCAGTCCAAATCATTTTGGTTCATTTTGGATAGTGTAGTTGAAGGGTTAAGACATCTCTTGGGTTCTCCCCTTTAAATTCTCTCCTACTGACATGAGTAAATCTTCCTTTGGTTTTGGGGCTGGC